AGGTGAAGGTAAAGGAGTTTACCGATAGAGATCTAGTCAGGAAATTGATTTTACCGATTGGGACTAAAAGTTCAAAGTTTGGAAAGTGGTCTCCTAATTGGGGAGGTCCATATCGGATAAATCAGTCTGTTCCTGGTAACGCATATATTCTAGAAACCCTCGAAGGGGTTATGTTTCCCAGAGCATTAAATGGAAAATATTTAAAGAAATATTACCCTAGTATCTGGATGGATGCATAAAAGTAGAAGTGCCGATAACAGTCTTATCGGCTAAAATTATACAAGGATGTCAATGTCTCATAAAGTGTCAATGCAATAGACAAGATTTACAAGTTTAACAAGGATTGGATAGCCAATATCACACGCAGGCGAATCTGGTCGGCTTCCTTCATTTCTTTGATGTCTTTATCGGCAGCACCCTCCACAGGCTTGAGTTTTTTCTTCATAGCCAAGGCTTTGCGAGCCTGGATGTCTCTTTCTTGCTGAAGGGCCTTGATGGCATCGGGTAGCTGGCTTTTTTCTTGTTGGGCATGAGTTAAGGCTGCCTCGACTTCTTTCAATTCAGCCAATAGAGCCATCCTCTTTGCCGATAAATCTAAGATTTTCTGCTTAAGTTCAGCGCCCGAAGTCTGCAAGTTGCCGATGCCCTTGTGCTTCTCATCGGCAATCTGTTTCAGGTGTAGCATCTCTTTTTTGAGTTGAGCCTGAGCTGCTCTATCGGCAATGAGTTGAGCAGCCCGTTGATATTGCAGTTGGCGGCTTTCTAAATGGGCTGCTGGGAAGAGTGCTTCTTCAACATCGGCAGGGACCTGGCCACGGATTGTTTTGAAAATTGCCTTTGTTGGGTCTGAGTCATCTACCAGTTGGGCGATATCCTGCTGTAACAAGTCCAGGAGAGCTTCCAACTTGGACTTAATTTCTGCCGATATTGTTCCCAGTGCAAGGGAAGAACTTGTTTCCTCTCCATCATCGTCAGAAACGTCAATGGCAAAGGAAAATAGGCTGTTTGGGGAGTCTTGTTCCTGAGAAAAAGAAAAAGAGGTCAGTTAGGATAAGTATGAATATTATAAATCGACTAGGTCAATCGGCTTACATGTTTCAAGGCAATTTCCTGTACTTGGCTGGAGGAAGCAGCCTGGAGTATGCCGTATGGAGGATCGACTGAGCTTGCCGATGGGATATCCTCTGTGGCCTCATCGGTGGTTGGCCCTTGGGGTATGATGACCGATGGTATGTCCTGTACAGGAGGATTAACTACTTGCTCAGTTGCATCGACTGATTCTGGCCGGCTTGCAGACGTTGGGGCAGATGTGGGGATCAGCATGGACTTCTGTCGTTTTGGCTGTGCCTCGGCATCCGTTAAGGCTTTGCGCTTTGCTTGGGCCTCAGCAACGGTTGGCTGGGGGGCATCGGCACTTGTTGGTTGTGGAGCTTGAACATCTCGTACGCTTGCCGATGTACCCATTTGTTCTTTGCAAAACAAGTGTAAGGTATGATATTTAACAGATAAAATGTAAAATCAAAGGAATACCTCCGAAGGTTTGTTAGAGGTAGTGGTGCTTGATGTCGGAGGAATTGCCGATGACGATCCGGTAATAGCTCTTACACCGATGATTAATGTTAATCTGATTTGTGATCGGCATGAGTAGAAATAAACAGGGTTGTTACCTTGAATGCCTTGATCGTGGTTGTAGCAAAGCACCAATGGAGTGGCCCTAGCTGTAGCCAATTTGGACTTGGAGGTGATGGTCTTGGCACGGGTCTTCTGGTGAGTCAAAGCAGCTAAGGTGGGGGCGTTGTAGCCGATCGGTGATATCGGGGAAACAGGCCAAAGATCGAAGGGTTTCCCACTTTTGCTCATAGATGGTGCTGGGTTGTTAACCTGTCACGAGAAAGTTAGTTACCGATATATGAAAAGAAAAGGCAGAAGGGAGTTAAAATAAACTTACTGCATCATCGGGAATGGCGTATTCAGGGTCGATCATGTGCCGATATGTGTGAGCAGATGTTGCAAACAGTTGTTCCCTCCACTCTCGCCACCATTGTTTATATGATTCGGTGATGAAAGATGCTGGTGTCCAGATGGATAGATCGACATCTGTAGTATCGGCATCGGGGGAGAGTCGTACTACCCTGCTCCAATCTATTCCGCAGGTGATTGTTTCTCTGGGTTTGATCACATCAACAAAACAAAGTTTGATTGGCAGTTGCCCGAAAGCCAATTGACGGGATACTGCCGATGGATTGTAAAATTCATACGTGATATTGGTGTTTTTCCGCCACCGAATGTGTTCTTTGGGATTGCCACGGGAGTAATGATGGCCATCATGAGTTCATTATCCCGATTCAGAGTGTCATCGACAAAGTTGAAAAGAAGGGGAATCTATTTTCTTCGTCAAAATAAGGTACCTGAGCCCTATGATCACGAGAAAGACCATTGTAGAAGCTTTGGAAGAATCTGCCGATCTGGTCTTCATTGGCCTCTGTTCTGGGGAGGACAATTATGGCTTCACCAAAATTGAGGGGTGAGCGTGTTGTTGATTCCTCATCCCCAAGCATCGTGGTCTTCAAAGCAATTTCTCGTGGAAATTGTTGGGCAAAGAAGTCCCATTGCAAACGTTTGTGCATATGGGCATTCAGCCACATGTTGATTAACCACCACGGGCCTCCTAAGTTGCCGATGGGTTCGCCAAGCAAAAGTTTCTGAGACACTTGATGAAGAAGATGATAAGTGGAGCTCAGAAGGTATCGATCAAGAGGGAACCTTACACCATTGGCCAAGAGTTCAGCCGCGGGGAGAAAGGCGTTGGTTGGTCCTACTGATCGACCACAGAAGATAAATTTTTCTAACCACATATTCAAGAATGTGGCATGTTCCCTCTGGTTAACTATCCCGGTCCTCTGACATTCTTGAATATATCCCGTCCAACCGCCGATATTGCGGGTATTCACCCTATATTCGGATTTTCTGCCATAGATGGAGCCTTCATTGGCAGTTGAAATGTCCAAGCCAGTGAGCATGTAGACATCAGCAAGTGTGGGAGTAGCTGGGCCATGTCCAAACATAAAAGTGTTTGTTGTGTCTGACCAGAAGTAAGCAGCTGCAATCATCATTGACTCGTTCTTTTGCATATCGGCAATGGATAGCCTAATGCATTGGTCTAGCTTCCGTTCTGCCCAGTGTACTTGCATCGACCTGTTGACCCTCATGTACCAATCTTTCCACCCTTTGGTGGTTTTAGGCCAAGATCGGAATGTATCTTTCCATAAATTCAGAGAGAAATTTTGGGCTCTAAAAGGGATTCTGTTAACCTCTGCATTAATCAGATCAGTTGGATCTGGGTTGCCCATTGGTCCTAGGCATTGGAAATGCGGCTGATCGGTTGGAATAACTAATTTGTTGCGAAGTTCCTAAGTTTAGAGGATCCGAAGAACAAAGAAAAAGAGGAAAATTACCAACTGTATGAACTCGCAAAGACCAGAGGAATCGAGGTAAAAAGTAACGGAAGTGGAACGAACCGCAGGGACGTCGAAGTTGATTGCCATTATCTTGAGGTAGATGGGGGCACGAGCTGGAGACTCGAGGTTGACACTGGAGAAAAGTTCTTGTTGGTTGAGGTCGCGCAGTTGTTCGTCGGAGTCGCCGCCGGAAAGAGAGAATGCCAAAGATTGGAGTCTGAGGGTAAAAGACAAACGTTCAGGAGAAATCTATTTATAAGCCGCTTGAGTAGGGGTATTCGGACTTATCTCTATGCCGCGCGCATGAGGGTCGAGGTGGTTCAGATGGATATGGTAACTGTTCGCACGATAATCAAGGGATTGTACAGATGATTTGATGGCAAGTAATCATGACTTGGAAGAGATCTCGGTACAGGATATTTTAATTCTAAAAATGGCGGCATTATTATGTTAGGATCTTACCGATGGATTATTTTTTCGGTATCTTAACCATAATCAGGGCAAGAGTGGTTGGAAATTGTGCGATATTTACTGAGGTGCGTGAATCAGGACTAGATTTGATTAGATTTGATAACAGATCAAGTTTTGGCTTGGAGGATGAGTTGCGGTAATTGGGCGAAGGCAAACGTTATCTGGAGTAAATTTCGAAGCATTAATGGTTTTATACTCCGAAATTGGGGGGCATGTGTTGACACCGTTTTTTGCACGTGTCAAAATGATCAGAGTGGGCTAATCGGCAGGAAGAAAGTTATTGTATATGCTGACAGCCGATGAAAATCAGCTTGTAAAGATGGTTGCCGATGAATGGTGATGATCGATGGAAAGGTTGATTTAGACTCGGGCGTTGCCGATAAGGTTGGAGATGTTAGTGTCGATGCCGATGAAGGAAGGCTTGAAAACTACTGCCGATGAAACAGGAAGTATGCCGATGGAAAGGAGGTCGGTGAGAATTCCATCGTAATTGAGGCGGACAGGGAAATAGATAGGAGTTGATTTCCTTTTCTATATTTGTTAGAGTATGATTCATGTAAGAGTCACGTGTTTCCTTAGATATGGACTTGGTGTCCTAGTCGTATTTGGTTATGTCTCTTTAGATCAGGGTATAAATACAGATTGAGGGGCAATGTAATAAAAATCAATCAATATCAAAACCAATTTTTACTCCTATTTGCATCTACTTACTTTTCGGCGACTTCGTCAATTTGCATATTTTTTCCTTTTTACGAGTTCTTATTGATTCGACGAGTTGCATCGCTTCAGTGTGACCTTCGGCGATTCTCGAGTTCCGCGTGAGTACCTCTTGGCCGTGACTTCCGGGCGTATCGCTGTTGTCAGGACCAAAGTGCTCGTATCTTCATCCTTGTCGATTAACAGGTCAAATCGACTGGCACGCTTTGGATATCGATTCGGGTATTAGCCCTTTGTGTTTGCAGATCCACTTTTGCATCAACAGTAGGTAAAAGGCGTGTAGAGCTCCGACAAGTACATCTTTATTTTGTTTCTAATCTTAATTGATTTATATAGGCAGTATGGTACCATTTACTACTTACTTGGAAGGTCCCATGGGTCGTGCTTGTAGATGTCGAAATCCTTGATGATCTCGATGCTAAGGCGCTTCCCGGCCACCTTCCGCCGGAGGTAGAAGGTGACCAGCTCCTCGTCAGTGGGGTGGAACCGGAACCCGGGAAGCATGTCTTCCTCCTCCTCCTCGTCTCCCACAAGCACCACCTCGTCTCCTTCGCCATGGTCGCCACCAGCCATGATCTCTTTTGCCATGTAGTGTTGTTCTTCTTGCACCACCAACGATGTAGAGCTAGTCGGCATGCAACAATAAGTGCTTGCTTGATTCAGTTTAGATATCCTTGCTGATCAGCTGCTATCTATATCTAATCTGGTTCTTGTTACTCTTTGATCAATAGCTAGAGTAGCACAGCTGCTATCTATGGATGCTAGCTCCGGCTTCCTTTATGTTCTTGCAACATGAAAGTAACTAGGGCTCTATATATATATACACATGTGATGCGGCGGATGCTAGCTCTTGTGTACTGAACTTGTCCCAGAACATGGGTTTGGTTCATGCATGCTTATGCCTGGTCAAAGCTATGAGGTTTGACTTGATTTCTGGCTCGCTAGGCTATACCAACCAGCTGTGTTTTTCCTGATGATATTTGCCCGTATCTACATGCATGTCTCCTTGACTGTTATTCGTCCATGATGAATCACCATGCCCCTGTGGCATGCACGGTGACTTCTTCCTTGTCTACTGCGTCTGTATCCTTGGCCTCTTCGTAGCGTAAGTAAACAAAATGACAGGACGTGACCCTCCACGGTTGTGCCGCCACGTCCAAAAAAGCACGCCGCCACAATTTACCTTTAAGCTTCTCAGGAATTGGTAATTCGTGTGTTTTATTACGCTCGTGCTTTTGAATGCATGGTTATTAGCAGCTTGCATTGTTGACCTTATTTATCCTATATTTGCCGTACAAGCTAGCGACTAACTGTACAGTACAGTACATGAAGGATAGAACGTCTACAACAACTGAGGCAAATTAAGCGCCTCCTCGAAGCTGTTGATCCCGTTCTTAACTTTTCACCTCAATATTATCAGAGCAAAAAGAAACTGCTATATCTACTCGAAACGTTAATACACAGATGTAGTAGTACACTAGAACTGTGTAACAAAGTTTCGATAAATAGTCACTATACTCACTAGTATTATCCTTGCCATTGGATATACTCCTTCCGTTCTAAATTATAAGTCATTTCAACATTTTTAGAGTCAAAGCATTTAAAGTTTGATCAAATTTACATAATAAAATAATATCATTTATGATCCCAAATAAGTATTATTAGATTCTTCGTTAATTAATTATATTTTCATAGTATAACTATTTAAGGTTATAAATCTTCAGTAATTCTTTCTATAAGTTTGGTCAAACTTGAGATACTTTAACACTCCAAGAAAGTTGAATGACTTATAATTTGGAACAGGGAGTATTTAACTACAGACAATAATTCTTATATACTGTGATCAATCATATAATATATATCTCGCTATACTTGCCAGTTATCTGTGCCAAAAAAAAAACTATGTACCGATAGCTCAGCATGCATGTCATCATCACTATCCCATCCGCACAGATTTTCTTGAGTTCTTTACTTAATTAGTACTACTACATGGTTTTTTTCCTGTTGGAGTATATGCTAGGTGCTAATAAGTAAACCACTGGACTGTCACTTTTTTCTATAGAAAGGTAGAAAGGGACGTTTTTTTTCCCTTGCGAAAGAAGTAGAAAGTGAATTTGGCATCCAACTACCGAGCCGGTTCATTGTGTGAAGAGCCGTGCCATGACAAATATTCGCAACACCAACCACCAAGCCGTCAGGTTAATTTTAGCTTTATTACCTTCCCCACTAGCAACAAACACCACTGTCAAAGTACAAACGGGAATGGTAAATATATAATTTTGATAGCTGTCAGGTAAATATATAATGCTAAATCTCGAGAAGCGGCTGTCAACTTCGTAGGTAAAAGGCGTGTAGAGCTCCGACAAGTACATCTTTATTTTGTTTATATCTTGGAAACGAGGATAATTCTTCTGATCTTAATTGATTTATATAGGAAGTATGGCACCATTTACTATTTTCAACTTTTTTCGTTGTTAGCAGAATTTGCATCGAGAAATCCAAATGACAACACTAATGGCAGTATGGCACCATTGAGTATCCTGCTATCCTTTTTTCCTCTCTTGATGTCATTTGCATGCATGCATGGCTACCGTTCAAGTGAGCTGATCTGATTGTAGCATTTTTTTTCCTGAAAGGGTAGCAACTTGATGGGCCCCACATTGTAATAGCGAAGGGAGCGTATCTGAGCGGGGTTGAGCTATAGGACTCTTAAAAAATAACCTACGCTCGTACTAAAATAAACTTTGCTTAAGATAAATCTATCTAGGTCTATCTCGATGTGTGCTACTATGGTTTATGTAATGTGTCTACCCATTGTCACAGAATTTTTCAACTTACAGCTAAATATATATCTGTCAACTACTCCCACAAAAGTAAAGAATTTTTCAACCTAGAGCTAAATACCTCTCAAGCTACACCTCAAAAGTAAAGGCATACAAGGTTGCAATAAAGTAAATGCAAAAACTTAAAAACAATAAGTCAGAGATAAGAAAGGGGTCATCAAATGAAATTGTCATATCCCTCACTACCACTCCATCGAATTTCGTTCAAAATTGTGTCCCTGACATAGGCCCACATGATGGCATTGTACTCCGTCCAATTTTAATGCACAATATGCCGGCCCCTAAGGGTTGATAGCAGGACCACATCCAAAAGATTGCCTCTTCCACACTCAATAGACATCACAATCACCCTACCCATTCACGTGAGAGCTCCCTATCCCTATCCCCATCTAAAACCCTAGTTCCTTGTGCGGCGGCGGGTCAAAGTTTGGCGGCCATGCGTGGGAGCTAGTCAGGTGGTCTCAGGTAGCGGGAAGAGGGTGAATCATGCCCTTAACTGGGTGCCACACTTGGCCGCTCGTGGGAGGTGGTGGGCCAGAGGTGGCTGGCCTGGCCCGTCTGGTCGTCAAGAGGCGGAGGGCGACCGACCACCCAATAGGACGACCCACACATGGGCAATCATGGTCATGATTGGGCCACATGCCTAGCCGTGAATGCATGGGAGGCGACAGGTACGCGGCCCCACCCAAGCACCTGCCGAGAGGGCGGCCCGCCTCATCCGGCAGTGCAGGCCACGCCTAGGCCTCGCATTAGGTGTTGTGCCTTGCCAAAATTCTCAACACCAATATCATTCTCAACTGTGCTTTACTAGCATTTGCACATAAGATTTGTTCGGATCTTCTGTCTTAACTTTGGGGGTTTGATTTCACCTTTTCGTCCATGTAGAAAGGAGTTTCAGTTACAATTTCATGAATAGGAAGATACTACTTGCCATATGCAGTAATGCAAGGGGGAAGTATCAGGGCACTTTTTCACTTTCTAAATACTTATAGCCTAACCTAAGTGCATCAAAGAGTGGCCATAGATTCAAAGATGCATTCATGACTTGAGTTACAGTGATTTTTTTTCAAATTGTCACTAAGGTCACACTCACAACATAGATTTCATTCCATGTGATCTTTATATAGTGCAACTATCTTTGCTCAAACATACCGATGGTATAATACAATAGTGGACATATGGCTTGTGCATATGATGCAAGTGCTCAACTAGTGAAGGTTGATGACTTGATCAAGGAAGAAGGAGCTTATTGTATATGGGACATTACATAGTCTCGTATGGATAGAAGGTGAAGATCAAAGCAAGGCTTAGGTGCGAAGGACTGTGTGCAAGCCAAATGATTCTTTTGGTGGAGAGATTGTAACACCATCGGTGTTACACTATAAATCATTTACTAAAACATGTCATGAGCATCATGTTTATATGTTAATGCAAGTGATAAAGTGTGTAGATCAATTTCTGTAACTCGAAATGATCATCTAAAATGCGGAGCGAAAGTAGATTCAATAGTCATGTTATATCACTTAGGGTTTAAAATCAATTTTTATTAAGCAAAAATGCTATAGAACATGTGTGTGTGATACTTAAATAAAGTTTAAAGTATGAACTTTGTAGATGATAGTGAAATAATTGTGATCGAAAAATGATATTACTAGCTAATATTTACGCTAGCTTAGAAATCACAAATGGAAAATCAAATTTAACTCTAAAACTTAGAAATTCTCAAGTCTTGTTGTGTTTAGCAATTTATTGTGAGAGATTAGGTTAAGGAGTAGGGTAGTATTATAGCTTGTTTTAGTAGCCTAATATATCCTCTAAGGTATAGCAAAAGTGGTTTGGGGATTGGATCAATGGTTTAGATGTCTCGAATGCTTTAAAATCCATGCATAACATGAACTCAGGCTGTCTTCTTATGTTGGGCGCAGTCACCAGGCCATCCTGCCCCGACGCCGCGGCGTCGTTGCGTTGGGCGCCCGCGTACGTGCGCATGTGGTCATGCTGGCTGGTTGCTGCTGCCATAGCCTGGCCATGGTGGGCACGCCGCTAGCCGCCAACCGTCAGCCGCCGTGCTCGCCGCTCACCTATGCCTGGCCGTCCTGCCGCCGTGCCGCGCTGGTGCCATTGCAGCGCTTGGGCTTGGCCGAGGCCGCCATAGCGAGCCGCTGGCCCTACGCCCTACTGCTCTGCCTTGCACTGCCGTTTGGGTGCCGCCCAGGCTACGCTGCGCTACCGTCGCATCCGCCCTACCGGAACTACTCACGTCGCGATGTTGCCGCTGGCTTTGCATCGTCGTCGCGTCAGCACTGATCCGCTACACCTCTGCACTTTTGCTAGAATCGCCACGCCATTTATGGCACTACGGCGCGTGGGCCACGCCGGTCAGACGCGCGCACACGTGGTCCGTAGCACCGGCGCGTGGGCCTCCTGAGCCCGCCGCTCGTGTCCCGCCAAGGCATGGACGAGCCGAGCCCACCTATCGTGCCATCTCTCTCTTTCCCTCTTTCTCCCTCTATTTTACGCCACCATCACGTCGTGTCACGGTGAAGCCAGAGAGCGAGCACCTCTCATCAATTTCTCATGCTCACATCTCTGCCTTCATGCTCCCTCCCTAGCTGACCCCACCCTGCCTTGACTCGCGTCACGCCGAGCTCCAATTTTGGAGCTTTGCACGCCGCCGTGCCGTTAAGGCCCATCGCCCCCGCGTCGTGGCCAGTCTCCATCACTTCATCCCGCGCCAATTCCTCT